CAGGCTGTTGAAGGACTTAAGCAGGCTGCTCACCGGCTACTGGCGGCCAGGGGCAAGGCAGCACGACGTAAAAAATAACGCTGAACATTTTAGTTAGCAACTGAGCCGCTATCTGTCCCGAACGGAGGAGAGGCGATACGATGTCATTATACCACGTCAAAAAAGGCACCACGAGAATGACACCGCCAGTGGGAGCTTACAATCGGAAATCGGAATATATCCTCACTCAGAGGAAAAGAGCAAGAGTTAGTAATGAGACCATAATGTACCAATTCGACACTGTTGGACTCTCGTCAACAAAACGCCCAGGCTCTGGACTCCTGAACCTCAATGGATGGAAACTGTTCTACTCAGGCGTCGATATCACGACTCGCGCTCAGGCCGGTGTTGAAGTTCTGGTAGAACCCAACCTGACAGACAGAATCACTGAATGAATGCTTGTCAGCGGAACGGTGGCCATCATCCGGATAAAGCTACATTGGGCCAAAGCTTTGTCCTTGTTACAAGTAATTGCGCCCAGTTTGGAGGGAGAATATGGGTCCTTTCTTTAAAAAAATGTGGTCTATGGAATCCATCATTCAGGTGGTCACATACATTCCGCATTTAAAAGCAGACACTGAAATGAACGGCTCTAGTGACCTCAGCAATAACGGACTATCTGTTTTGAACTGCTTCTTTAAGCACTGAAGCGTACTTCAGTACTCCTGGCACCGAGGAGCTTGTGCATAGAAGTCGATGATCGATCTGATAATCGTATCGCCTGACTGCAACGCTTTGTAATGAATGTTCGCGTTAGAAGGAGCAGAGCTATCAACTGATCAGCACCTTCTCGTTGGCATGCTACTTTGTAAAAAATGGAGTACCGTGCGAAGATCTTTCGGAAGAAGCATTCAGACAATCAAATGGGAAACATTATCTTCGGTGGACATGAGAGCAAAATTTGCAAACAACATCGCACGATCGTTTGAACAGATCCAGGTGATGACCACCGATGTGGAAACCGACTGGCAGCTCTTCAAGAGCGGCTAACTCGAGGCTGCCGCCGAATGCTGCGGATTTAAACGGGTTGGCCTGCCACCTGGAAGTCAGAAAAGATCTTCATGGTGGGCATGAGAGGTACAACTGCAGTTAAAGAGAAGAGAGTATCGTTAAAGAAATGGCTTGGAAACAAGGAGCCATCTACACGCGTGCGATATGTCGAGACACGCAAAGCGTCAGCGAAAGCAGCATCGAAAGCCAACGCTCTTTCCTGAGAGAGTTCGATGATGTGTTGGAGAGGCATTTCCAGGCGACAAACATATTTCCGGCGACCATGTGCCGCCTCCTAAGTGGAAAGAAAGGCAGTCTTAGAGACTTGAAGGACAAGTCCGGATATTCTCTTACCGGGTATAACGACATTTGCTGATGCTGAAGAGAGCACTTTTAGGAACTTCTAAACCTGAACAACCGCAAGAAGACTCGCACTAGGGAACGGATATTATTATTTCTGTGAAAAGTGAAAAGGCTGAT